TGAACTAAGCCATATAAAACAAAACACTTGTGCAAGAAACTAAGCATAATTGGTTTTCAATGTAAAAGAAAAATATTTCAAAATTACTAATGCAGCTATGAAGTTAAGCACATTGTATCCTTCATCAGTAGTCTACCCCAAGTAAAAAGCCCGTAGCTGTTACAAGCTAAATAAATTAAGAATTTGGGTTGGGCAGTAGAGGCTTAGTTTGTATGCCTTAATAATGTTAGTGCAAAACACAATACTGTACATCTTAAGGGAGACCAGTTTTTAGATCAGTCACAACACCTGCTTACCAACAAACCAACATTTAAATTAAATATAGTGTCCCAAGTTCACAATCTAAAATAACCCAACATGTTTTATGGTCTTATCCTCGAGGTTTTCAGTACTGGAAGTCCTTGCTTCTTCTCTACAAGGGGTAGTAGGACTTCTGCAGATCTGTAGATGTATGGTAGCTGTGCAGATCTCCACAGCTTTATGTAGGACCTAAAAATCAGGTTATGTCATATCTACCAAGTGTTATGCAATCCAAAAAAAAAACGGAGTTGGAAAATAGTATAAATGAGAACTGAATCCATCTAATTTCTTAAGAATCTTAATTTCCTATTTGAGTAAGAACCTACTTTTTCACTAAAGTAGACATAAATTAAAGGCACAAAAATAAACATGTTCATTTTTACTTAGTTACTTTTCTGATTAAAGCTCGTGGTTTCATGACATTTCCCTTTCAAATGACAGCTGAAGCCAGTGCTTGGGCTTCAACCCTGTTAAGGGCTAAGGACCCTTAAAAGATGTTTCAGGAACTGAGTATTTTCAGAATCTTTTGGGGTTAATCCTCCAATTAAAAAAATATATTGGTTCATGAATCAATTCCTATACAGGACAAACCCAGCTACTTTAGAAACCTTACATTCTATCAGTACAAGAAAGATACTTCTGATCCTAAACAAACATATAAAGCTACATCAAAAGCATTATGGTTGTATTGTCCAGACCTCCTGACACATGCTTTGCCTGTCTACTATCACGTACATTTTATTACTGCTTTCTAAATACAATACTCACAATGGGTGGGGTCTAATATAGATGAAGAAAATGATAAGATCCCCATTCAGAGGAGTTTATAATTAAACAGGTTATCTAACAAAAAATGAAATCAAACCATGTCATTATAGAGGGAAGGAAATAGAAATAGGGAAGTTAATACAGAAGACATAGGTCCTGAGACTTGTAAAGACCTGGTGCTTAGCCCCATGGGAATCAATGGGTATACCGATGTGTAAAGCTAAAAATGTATAGATTTACAGGAGGTATTTGTTGAGTTCTTTTCATTGCAGACAGAAGTGTTTTCACTCTTAGCTGGAATAATTTATTTGTTAAACAAGGTTCAATGCACCTACATTCACTCATTTATAAAACACATTTGCAATATTATTGTAAAACAAAAAAGGTATGGATGTGCAATGAGCTTCCTTTGGAAACCAAATAATTGACTATTTTGAAAAAAAAAATCTTTCTGTAAAATATTCTTCAGTCATGTAAGACTTTTCTAATGGATTTTCTTTTTTTTTTCTTAGAGAACTGACAGTCCATTAAAAGATCTTATAAGTCTACTTTTTGCTTCTATATTCCTAAAACACATATTTTTAAGGAAAATCTTTTAAAGGAAATCGTTGGTCTTCAAGTACCAAATATTAGACCAGACTAAATACTCATCCTTAGTTTATCAAACCCTGAAACTACAGATTAATAACAGATACTGGCAGCATCTAAACAGAGCAGCCCAGCCATCACTGATGTTATTACAATGGTAGCAGTTTCCATTTGAACACAAAAAGGATCCCATTGACTTGAAATGATGAAGCAGTAGTTCATGTTGAAAAATATCAGTAATGCTCATGACAGTTCAACAAATAGCTTTTTTCAAAGCATTGCAAAAGTTTTCTTTTTTTTCAGCTGTTGTATACTTTAAAGCACACTGACTGTAATAGACATTTATAGTGCAGTCATCATTACAGGTTTAAGTCTAATATATAGTGTAGGATTAACTTGTGAGCATATGTTAAAATAACTGAAGATTCCCAATGATACCCATGATACTGTACATGGATTTGATCCATAAACCCAAAGAGGAGTTAACTGAAGTTTTACTGCACTGGGCTTTACTAGGCCTTGTAGGATTGAACTTTGCAATTCTACAGCAAAACAGAAAGCAAAACAACCCAACCCAATTAATTAAGCAATTATGATTGCCATGAGTTGGTTATTGTCCTTCCAGAGCACAGAGTTCAATGACATGCAAACCTCTAAAAATCTGAAAAACCAATATTAAGTTCTACACCAGTACAATTTTAACTCATTGACATGTCTGTATAGTGAAAAAAATCCACCTCTGGTGTAAATCATGGTGTATATGTGGTCCTTTCCTAACAACCAAAGGAACAGACTATATGCAACCTAGGAAAAGGACTACAATATTTTGTTCAGTAGTATGAGTCTCTTATTCTGGCAAACTGAAGGGCATTGCTACTAGCTCAGGCAATATAGCAGCACTGAGACAACAATGTAAGAAACATATATATATAAAGAAGATCTTGAATGCAACAAGATAGATGACTAAAGTGAAGTTAAGCAACTGCGTGAAACATGTTTGCAAAACATATGGGAAATATATTCAGAGCATATGTTATAGAAATGGGTGCACACATGCCTGGTGGCTGTTCCACTGAACCACAAGATACATATCAAAATGGTAGACTTAATAGCTGGAGAAAACACCAGTGTTTTCTTTAGCCTATACAGATGAGTCCTAATAGCAGCAAAAATTTTTTGTAGGCATTTAGGGCTAGAACAGAAATTAAACATAAACTGGTATCAGTGACTGGAAACCAGTTCAAAGCTGTAACAAAACATAAGTTCAGTGCAAATAAACTGCTTTCAAAACAGCCAAAACCAGTTTAAGATAAACCTAAATGGAGGTAGTATTAGGCTAAACTGATTTAGGTTAAGTCACTTTATTGAACTTCTGTCCCAGATCTCCTCCAGATTCAAGTTAACTCACAGTCCCCCAGCATCCCAGAATGCTTTGCACCTCCCCTGCAACTCCCGCCACCCCCCTCACAGCATGGGTGGGATAGCTTTGGCCCAACCTGTCTGCTCCAGCCAAGCAGGGAGACATGTTCTAGCACTCCGCTTCCCCCAGCTTCTGGCTAGGGCCACTGCAGGCATATGGCTGTGTTTCCAGAATCAAAAGTGAATGTCTGTTCACTTGCTTATCAAGTCAACCTATGCAGCTTAAAATAACGTACAAAGATTGAACTGATTCATCCTCAGGCTGTTTGACTGTCTGTACTTAGCCTAAGATTCCAATTTGTTCCTCTTAAGCTTCTGCATATAATCCCAAGATAGCAGATAGCACATTGGAACGATAGCCAAGTTGGTTATTCAAAGCAAATGTTTCAGAAAATGCATCAGGTATGGTGAGAAAATAGAGGTCAAATTCTGTTATCATATATGCATATGAGAAATGGACATGATTTCTCTCTTTCTGTACCTTTACCTAAATGAATACCCTAACATGCATATCAGGGAATTTGTCTGTGTGTACATATGGATTAAGACACATGAGTCAAACTCTCTGCTCTAGTAAAAAAAGAAACACACTTGTAAAACACCCCAGTGATTTTTAGTAAACCAGACAAGGTTATGCAAATAAAAAGACAATAGTCTTACCATTTCAGTAAAGCCATTTACATCATAAATAACCATAATGTGGAGGTGTGAACTGTTCTTTGTCAGTTGCTCATTAACAAATCTACCATTAATCATGGGAATCATGTGAACACCAGCCTTTAATTCTATATAGACTATCTCTCTATCAGCTATTGTTTAGGTGACTTCATTTCTACATCCTTGTGCCCCCTTTAAATTACTAGATTTTTCCAACTGCAGCTCATGACAAAGTTACTAGAAGGATCAAGACTTGTTACCACATACATCTTCAAGCAGGTTAAAATTCATATTTCAGGTTAAAATACAATTTTGCATATTATGATGAGAGGCAAGGAAAACTTGCACTTACTAGAGAAGAAACTGCAGAATTGCTTCTGACTTGCAAGCATTTGTGTTTGTTAACTTTGGAAAGCTATTTTAAAATAAATGTCTCCCTGTCACTATAAAGCGAAAATAAACTAAAAAGGCAATTAGATATATTTCACTTTTGGAAAAAGGATGACAAACAAAGCTTTGATGAAATACATGAAGCCTCTATGCACCCATGTTTTCTGACAAGTCTTAGGTCAAAGTTCCATCTTAACACACAAAAAAATCTGTTTTAAAATGTATCAAAATTCATGTAAGTGGGAGCAGAATGCAGATATTTGTAATTCTTTAAAAAGGGACTTTGCCTGCCTAAATTTTAGTACCTGTAATGACTTGCAGACTAGCACCACTACTGTCTCTTATCCCCTAGAATCACACACTGCTATCCAAACCCCACAGTATTCTTTGGCATCAATAAATCAATTCAAATTAAGGAAGAAAAAACAAATTGAGCAATCTATGCTAATTAAGTAAATAAAACAAATTTGAGACTATAGTTTGCAAACACCTACAATCAATGTACAAACAACAAAAGGTGTTCAGCACACAAATTGTGCTTGCCATATTTCCTCTGCTTATAAACTGTTCAGCCTGTGTTTGAAGTACAAAAAGTGTATCTTCTATGAAAATCGCTGCTTAAAAGTTTAGGAAGGAAAATTGTAGCAGGTGAGATGACAAGATAGATCTATTCAGACTAGTTCTATATTTTTATGTTTTTCTTTTTAAAATTGATATACAAATACATTAAATATGGGCAAGTAAGGTGATGCAAAGGGACCAGGTCACTATCTCTCTATAGAGATTCCTAAGGGGCATGCTCAAGTATGAAAGATAAATTGAGGAATAACTCCAAAGATTATTTCATTAAAGTTTTGCTTTCCCCCTGACTCCAGAAACAAGTTTGGAGCCCAGAAAGAATGCACCTGAAACCATCTACTAAAGGCAATCTACCCAGAGCTTCATGCATCTGATCTACCTTCTTCAATATCCTTGGCAGGACATTTCTCCAGAAGCACTCTCTCAAAGGTTAGACGGGTGCCCACATTACATACAGACCTCTGAAGATATGTTAATGTCAGCAGCATCACCTAAGTGAAGGGTGCAAGTGGAGTGTCAGCCCTTGGGACCAATTCAGTGCCAGCATGGCAGCCCTCAGGAAGCCCAGGCTACTGTCACAACCCCTGTACAAGAAGTTTGTGCTAAGGTGGCACCAGGCCATGCCAGTGCCACAAATGTGGCACCTCTGTGCGGGGGGGGGCGGGGCGGTAAGTGCTTGCTTCCTCCCACTCCCTGTGCTGCCCAGGGTCACAATATGTCAAGTTAGGCCTCTGTGTAATATTACAAAAATATTTAATGTCTGATTCTGCTGCTAGAGACAGCCACAAAAAATCAAGAATTCAGTTTTTGAGCTGACACCAAAATTGAAGCAAAATGGAAAGACATGGTTAGGAAGACCTGAAGCACAGATTTTAGCTTCTTCATGGAGACCCAAGAAAGCAGGCAGACCAGCCAGTCATCCCATTCCCATCCACTATGGCATCTGAAATTTATCCAAGAAACATTCCTAGTTGCATAGAAAAAATCAGGTAAGAATAGAAGAGAAATGCCCTAGATTTGAGCTACAAAACCTACTGAAATTCAAACAAAAACTCCCATTGATTTTAAAGGAAGATATAAGATATTACTGCAAATGCTATATGCATCTGTGTGAACAGCCTGTCTACAAATTGAATTGAATTATGAAACAGCTATAAAAAGTAGAAACTCAGACTGAACTCTGCTCTGAGTTACATAAATGGTAAAGCCAGACCATTTCTATTGATATGAGCCAATTTACTCTTGATTCGTGCTGATGTAACTCACTGCAAAGTTTGACCCTTTAAAATACCATATTTACTCAAATTTAAAATCATAGAATCATAGAAAATTAGGGTTGAACATCAGGAGGTCATCTAATCCAACCCCTTGCTCAAAGCAGGACCATCCCCAACTACATCATCCTAGCCAAGGCTTTGTATAGCCAGTTTTAAAAGCCTCCAAGGATGGAGAGTCCACAACCTCTCTGGGTAATCTGTTCCAGGGGTTTAACACCCTCCTACTGAGAAAGTTTCCACTTCTTATAAGCTTCCTTTTTGTGATTTATTTTACTGCTAAACCAAGCTGGTCTTTTGCCATACCTACTAGTCTTCCTGCACACTGGGATGGTTTGTCCCTGCACTCTCAGTAAGGCTTCTTTGTACTGGACTCCCCTCCCCCTCAGTTTGGCTTTTTAGGAGATCTTGCCCAAGAGTTCCCTGAGTGAGTTGAAGTCTGCTTTTCTGAATTTCAGGGTCCTTACTCTGTTGCTTTCCATCCTTCCTTTCCTCAGGACCCTGAATTCAATCATCTCATGGTCATTGCTGCCCAAGTTGCCATCCACTACTACATTGCCCACCAAGTCTTCCCTGTTTGTGATCAGCAGGCCAGAAGAGCCTTGTAGTCACTTTTGATCTGCTCAGGGTCTCCTCTGGCTGTATCACTGGTGTCTACATGGATGAGCTGCATGGGGTAGTATAGAGGGCCAGATGAGTCTCAGTAATCCTTCTGTGACATCTTGGCTCCAGGCTCTGGGAAAACACCAGACCTCCCAAGACTACAGGTCAGGCCAGTAGATGGATGCCTCTGTCCTCCTCAGAAGGGAGTATCCAATCACCACCACTCATTGCTTCTTCTTGATGGTAGTGGTCTTGGTCCTTCCAAACTTGGGGAGGCCTGTCCTGTCCTCTGTTGCTAGGTCTCCATATCTGTTCTCCAGGAAAAGTGCTGCAGGTGGAGATGAAAATTTTGCTTATTCCAGAGGTCACAAGCTTCCAGCTTCCTCCTTCTGGGGAGTCCATGTCCTCTCCCTTCTCCAATGTTGCCTTTGACAGTCCTTCCTCCACAGTCCTAGACATCTCCTCCAGCACTGACTCAATAAAGTCCTCATGGTGGAGGATGCTGCAGAACCTTGCCACCTCCTCCTGTAGCTTTCTTGCCTTCTCCCTGAGGGACACCACAAGAAGGCACCATTCATCACAGGCTCTCCCCCACCTGGCTGTCACTGGAAGGAATCTGCAAGCCTCAGTCTCCACAGTGCCAAACCAGAACCTGGGTGGAAGCGGTCCTCCTTGGACAGACACCTCACAGGTATAAGAGGCGGCAGTGGCAGTGGCTCTGGCATTGTGATGTCCTTCAGCCATTTCTCTGGGTCTCTTAATCTGCCACCTCTCTCTTGCTGCCCTTCTTCCAAGCAGACCTTCCCTAGCAAACTCACCTATAAGCTGGCCTTTTTACTGCTCCGTGGTCCCAAAAGGTTCGTTTATCTCTGCTTCCTCTCACCAAGCTTAAAGGCCAGCTCTCGCCAAGCTTCAAAGAGTGGGTTTGCAAACTGACCTGCAAAAGTGGCTGAGTTTTTCCCCCCAGTCAGCATGTGGGGGGGAACCCCTTGTTTTTGATTTGCATACAAAGAAGAAGTGGGGTGGGCAAGCTGCTGCTGCAGATCTGACTCTGACCCTGAGCTCAGGTCAGGGCCAGAGTAAGATCCATAGCAGTCTCCAAGTCCCCCATTCCCTGCCTCACATGCCCACTGCAGTTTCTGACTCCCTTTGCCCCCTTTCCCCCTTACTATCAGGAATAGCTCAGCTCTGACTCAGGTTGGCTTCCGTCCTGGGTACAAAGCACCGGGAAACTCTGTCCTCTGTCCACCCAATCAGCAGTGATGGCCCAGCAAGAGCTGTTCTTCCACATGCTGTGCTCTGTGAGCTGGCACAGAACAGATGCTGAGCAACAGTGGCTAACAATAACAGGGTGAGGGGATGTGGAAGAGACTGGGGGCATAGGTGGGGAAGGAAGTGGCAGAGATTGTAATGAGTGGGTGGGGGCAGAGATTTTGGGGAGTGTGGGAGAAAGAGCAAAGATTGTGGGGTGCTGCAGGTAGGGAGGTGGTAGGGGGCAGGAAGGCAGAAAGGGGAGAATGTGAGGAGAGGCAGAGGGCAAGGAATGCTGCCTGATCCACCCCAGCTACCTAATTCCCCCCCTACCCCGCCCAGCTACTGCTCTACCTACTGTAGCAGGGGCAAATTTAAGATAACTTTCCAATAATTAGATTCCATACTTGGAAAGTTACGACAAGTTTATATATTTTCCATATATAGAATCTAGTTATTGGGGGATTATCTTAAATTTAGAATTGTCTTAGATTTCAGTACATATGGTACTGATATTCATCAACATGAGCTGTTGTTCAAAGAAGGCGGCTTGCTAGGAAAAGATGGGATCCACCTAACAAAGAAAAGGAAGAGCATCTTCACAGACAGGCGTGCTAACCTAGAGAAGTGGGCTTTAAACTAGGTTGGCTGGGGTGATAGAGACCAAAGCTCTGAGATAAGTGGGGAAGTGGGTGACCCTGAGGAAAACAAGTAGGAGGCGGCAACAGGGGAGGTTCTTCTCATAGTTCCTGACAAATAAGGAAAATCAACTAGTTACCTTAGGAGCCTGTACATGAATTCATGTAGCCTGGGAAATAGGAAAGAAGAATTGGAAGTCCTCACAGTTTCTTCAAACAGCTAGTGGAAGTTTCCCAATCACAAGCCCTCATTCTCACATGGGACTTCAGTCATCCTGACATCTGCTGGGACAGCAATATAGCAGTGCACAGTAAGGGTTTGTGAAACAGGCCGTATTCGATTTGGATTTGGATTTGGCCCAAATCAGGGACAGTGATTTTATTTGTTGATTTGGATCACTGTCCCTGATTCAATTTGGCTGAATCTGAATCTGAAGATTCAATGCTGATCCAGAGAATCAGCGATTCAGCCATAGACGCAGCTTTAAATATTTTTTCTACATAGCTCGATGTACCAGGCGTGGCTCATGAATGCTGCCATTGTGGGGCAGATGGAGTTTCCCACAGGAGTGCGGAGGTGCCCCCCACATGCTAGGCAGTGAACCAGGAAGTAGACAGGAAGTACTTGATCAGCCATGAGGGGACCCTGGGTGCTCCCCCAGACTTAGGAGGCACCAGCCGGGGGGATGCAGGGGCCCCCCTGCTTGCTCTCCGGCAGACGCAGAAATGGATTAGAGTGCTTTCGGTCCACTTCCAGGTCTTCTGACAAGCAGGGTGGGGACCCCCTCCCCCCCACACACACACTCCTGTGGGATGCTTCATCCGCCCCAGCACCTCAGCATTCACGAGCTGCCTGGTACCTTGAAGTATGTAGAAAAAAATGTTTAAAAGTTGTGTCTATGGCTGAATCATTGAATCTTTCTGAATTCCTCCAAATTGATTCAGAGGATTTCAATTTGATTCGGAGAGATTAAAGGGTCTCCTGATTCAATTTGGATTTGGAGATTTGGCCACTGAATTGGGCCGAATCTCTGCTGAATCAAATCAGTAACTGAAGCTTCACACAGCCGTAGTGCGCAGGCAATCCAGGAAGTTTTTGGAGACTGTTAGGGACAACTTCCTGGTGCAAGTGCTGCAGAAGCTAGCTAGGGGCCATGCTCTTCTTGACCAGCTTCTCACAAACAGGGAAGAATTGGTGGGCAATGTAATAGTGGATGACAACTTGGGCATCAGTGATCATGAGATGATTTGAGTTCAGGATCCCGAGGAAAGGAAGGATGGATAGCAGCAGACTAAGGACCCTGGACTTCAGAAAAGTAGATTTTTACTTGCTCAGGGAACTCATGGGCAGGATGCCCTGGGAAGGCAGTCTGAAGGGCAGAGGAGTCTGGGAAAGCTTGGTGTACTTTAAAGAAGCTTTACTGAGAATGGAGGAACAAACCATCTCAATGTACAAGAAGACTAGAAAGTATGGCAGAAGAACAGCTTGGCTTAGCAGGGAACTCTTCAGTGAGCTAAACAACAAAAAGGAAGCTTATAAGAAGTTGAAACTTGAACAAACAACCAGGGAGGAGTATAAGAGCATTACTTGGGCATGCAGGGATGAAGTCAGGAAGGCCAAAGCGCAATTGGAGTTGTAGCTAGCAACATAGGTGGTGGAAGG